ACCGTAAACCGCCATTAAATAAGAAACCCCATGAAACATGTCCGATCACAGTACTACGACCCATGCTACGGCGTCCGCGGGAACCGACGCGCTCCGCAACCCTGGTCCAGTGGTGCGGGCGAATAGTATGCGAGCTGGACTAATCAATCGTGGACGGACTCTCGGTATTGGATGCTGGGATGTACGAACCTTCCTGGACCCTGGTACCCAAAGTCTGACCACACGCAGCCTTCATCAGTATAACGTGGATGTCTGCTGTCTGTCTGAGGTACGACTCCCTGACTCAGGCTCCCGTTAACAAAGATCCCGGGAGTCGAATCACACTTCACCCTGTACTACAGCGGCCCCCGCGATTCCTCTGGTCGACACGGTGTGGCGATCGCCCTATCACAACAAGCAGACCTCGCGCTACTTGCTTGGGAACCAGTCAATGGCCGGATGGCCTACGTGCGACTGAAGGGTCACTTCACGAACATCTCCATCGTCGCTGTGTACGCACCAACTTCGGCTGCCGAACAGCGCGATAAAGAGGCGTTTTACTCTCAGTTGCAAGCGCTAGTTGAAAGACTGCCTCGCCGCGATCTGCTGATTGCTGCTGGCGATTGGAATGGTCGACCTGCACCTGGCGACCCCACAACCAGTCATCTTCTTCGCCGCTTTGGGCTTGGTTTCCGATGTGAAAATGGTGAGAGATTGCTGAAATTCGCTGATCGAAACCGACTGCTTCTCACCAACACGTGTTTCCAGGATCGCAAAAAAACATCTGCTGACCTGGTATTCAAACGACGGTCGTACGGCCAGTCAGATTGACTACATACTAGTCAGCTCAAGGTTCCGCAGCTGGGTTCACGATAGCAGATCGATGCGTGGTGCCGAGACTGGTAACGCTCATGGGTCGGACCATGTCCTCGTCCGTACACGCCCGAAAGTTCATCTCTCATCCGCGCCAAAAATGCCACGTCCTAGACGCCTCAATGTCGCAAAAATCCGGCAAGCCAGCACTTCCGAGGCCCTAAGCAGAGAAATCCGGACCTGTTTTACGACCCAAGCCGACGGAGAAGTCAGTAACCAGTGGTCGTCACTGAAGACATCAGTCTATGGGACAGCTGAGAAAATCCTTGGATACACCCAACGACGCCGCAGTGACTGGATCAGCGGAAGAACCCTGCAGTTGTCTGCTCAGACAGCTAGAGCCAGGTCCCGCAACGATGACTACTTCCGCCAACTTCGGAAGATGACGGCAAAATCGGCCAGGAATGACCGGAAGCAATATTGGGCTGAAATAGCGACATCCATGGAACAGGCTCCGAACGTTGGGGACACTCGAAAGCTCTACCGTCTGATCCGCCAAGTTAGCGGTAAGCCCTCTACACTGAGTGACTCTGTTCGCGATGTGAACGGCGGCTTTATTGCTGACAACTCGGCCAAAGTCGAGCGCTGGCGTGAGCACTTCGAACACCATCTCAACTTCGATGCCCAACCTACCTCGCCCTTGCTCTCCTCCTCAGCGGAGTTTCTTCCCTCTCCTACCTACGCAGTGCAATGCGATCCCCCCTCCGAGGAAGAAGTCGCCGATGACATACGAAAGTTGCGCAGCAATAAGGCACCCGGAGAGGACGGTATACCCGCTGAAATCTTCAAGTCTTGTGTCGACACTGGTGCCCTGGCTCCATGAGGTGATGGAACGAGCGTGGAGAGACGAGGTTGTTCCTGATGATTGGGGCTTAGGCATCCTTGTACCTATCCTCAAGAAGGGAGATAAGACGAGATGCGAGAACTACCGCGGCATAAGTCTCATCGACGTTGCTGCGAAGAGCTTCGCTATTGTCCTACTCAGGCGATTCCAGGATGTGCGTGACTCAAGGACGAGGCCCAACCAAGCCGGATTTCGTGCTGGACGTGGATGCGCAGATCAGATATTCACACTGAGGCGCATTCTCGAATTTCGCCATAGCTACCAACAACCGACGGCCGTCTGCTTCGTTGACTTTGCCGCCGCGTTCGATTCCGTTCACCGTGAGTCCCTGTGGCGGATAATGGCGCTAGATGGTATACCGGCAAAAATCATCGCCATGATCAAGGCCTACTATCGCTCCACTACGGCGAGAGTCCTGGTCCGTAACAATCTTTCCCAACCGTTCGGTATTCGGTCTGGCGTCCGACAGGGTTGTATCCTGTCACCCATACTGTTCAACTACGCTATTGACCGGATCCTCGGAAGGGCCCTACGCGACAGTGACAGCGTTGAATTTGCACCCGGACATCGACTGACTGATCTCGACTATGCCGATGATATCGCCTTACTTGCTTCAAGTTTTGGTGATCTGCAGTCAATGGTGTCATGGGTGAACGAGGTCGCTAAATCAGTCGGTTTGTCCATAAACGCTGGGAAGACCAAAGTATTCTCAAGCTGCATCCTTGACCAGGAGAAGGCACCCCTGGGGATTGATGGCTGTCAACTTGAAGAAGTGGACAGTTTTAAATACCTCGGGGCGAGGCTGCTGCCTAATGGACAGAGTAAGGACGACATTGTCTCCCGAATCGATGCTGCCCGCTGGGTTTTTTCAAGCCTTCGGAAATACCTGTGGAACCGACGTGACCTATCCATCGCCACTAAGATTCGCGTGTACCGTGCATCTGTCCGGTCTGTCCTTCTCTACGGTTGTGAATGCTGGGCTTTGCGCGTGGAGGACGAGCGAAAACTGGAGGTATTTGACCACCACTGCTTGAGGATCATCCTTCGAGTGAAGTTAACCGACTTCGTCTCAAATGAGACAGTCCGCGCTCGCTGCGACAACAGCGCAAGGATAACTCAGGCCATCCAAGAAAGACGACTGAGGTGGTTCGGGCATGTTGTTCGTCGTCCACCTCAGGAGCTCAGTGTTACTGCCCTCGATCCGGCACCGTTGCCCCATTGGAGACGTCGAAGAGGTGGTCAGTTCAAAACCTGGCTCGACACTGTCCGTCAAGACATGGAGGTGGTTCTTGGACCTTCGGTATTCGGTCTCCGTCGTTGGCGAAAAGAATGGGTTGAGCTGTCTAGATCTGCTGCCGCAGATCGTCACGCGTGGAGAGGTACAGTTCGGGACATCATCGAGGCCGGCTAGATCAGGCATGATCGCAGCCGTATCAAGTACAAGTAAGTAAGTAGTACATCAGGAGGTGTGTATTTGTTGATGTTTTGGGTGTAATCAACAACCATCCGCTTTTTGTGGTTTTCATCAACTATCACCAGGACTCGGGCACGCCAGGGGTGGGGCGGACTCCATGACGCCTTCAGAAGGGACAATTCTCTAATCAACGTTTGAGTGCCTACAAGATTTTGTCGCCGTAGACATGCAGTCATGAGTTAGATTAGAAAAACACGGAGGCTCGAGGCAAGCAGAGGCCATAGAACATGACGGAAGTAGTCGGATCGGATGGCTGATTCGTAAACTGGCGTTTTTGGGAGCAAAAACAGGCTGGGCATCGCCTGCTTTGGCGTTAGAACTCTTACATTGACAGCTCAGGGCCCAACAGTCCTTCTCCGGATTGGGTTCGCGCAACATTACGGCATCGGGGATGGAAAATGTTCCCGCCTCTAGCGGATCTTTGTCATCGGCAACTCTGATCTACATTGTATTACAGCTGCTCACAGTAATCAGACAAAGCCTCTTCGTTCTACTGCCGTAGACCTCACAATTGTTGGTGGATGTTGGGAGTATGCAGTTACAGGCAGTAACTAGGCTTGTCGTATTGCTTGACCTCGTGAATAGGTAAACGTCCTGGACGTCAACGTGTGATGTACCCATTACGCGAGTTCTTGGGTATAGCACTGGGAACCCGGTGCGCAAACAGCGATTGACTTGTCCGTTTCGTTCCATTGGACCTCTGTCGTTACGAATGTTTCTCTTTGCTGTCCTAGGTAGTGGTCACACTCAAGATCAAATTTATCACCACTCCGAGTACGCTGCGCCGGCCCTTTGCTGAACTGCTGCGGTATGCGTGTCGTCGACACCGGCAGTGAGAATGACTCATATCATTGTCTTTGCGAGGCCTCACCTACATATTAGACTACGTGCCTGCGGAAGGATACCACCTGCTAATACTCCTCCACGACCCCGAGTTTCGCATCTGCAACTGATTCCATGCACTGACACAGACATCACCAACATACGAGACTCTATCGAAGATAACTAGCTGTACTGCAGCTTGTCTCCTGAGTGCATCGCAGGATTTAATAGAACAGCAAACTTCGCTACCAACATTGGATTTCTGGTGAGACCGTACGATATTGCAAAGGCTGCTCGCCGTCAGTGCCACCCGGAGTACAGGAACTTGCGTCCTTCGACAATGATTTACAACGGGCTTTGACTAGCAGTCACACCAAGTGTTTGTACGAGACTTCCAAGATAAGTCCGTCTGATAATCTGGCTGCCCCTGCAATCCAAGGCAACCGATACATAGTGAGATCGTCACTGCCAGGCACCGTTGGGCCACAAAACGACAGCCCTGTTGCACTAGGCCTAGACGGAGCTAGACTAGTTTATAATACGCATACCGTGGAGGCCTTGGGACACGTGTCCAGTTGGCTTGCCCTGGGTTTGCAGCTGATCCTCCAAGATGAGAGCCACTTCACAGTAGGTCCCTCCTGATGTTGCTGTATGACACTTTACATATTTTGGGGGATCAGCATGTGTCTAACACCCAGAGATGGGAGCTTTGATAACTCACTCTGCGCCATGCCGATCTGCCGCGTCGATTTGGCATCCTGTCCTTGGAACAAGGTAGGTATGCTTTATTCAGCGCACGCCGGCAGTCCTATGCTTCACATACTACTGATCGTAGCGTCGCCGTGCTCACAAACTCCCTTGCAGAAATTCAACACGTTTTGTTCTAGGTAAGCGCAAAGGGGCTGGAGCAGGCCTGGAACGAAACTCCAAAACGCAGATGGTTCAGGGCTTTATGGTCGTTGGCATGTGTGCCGGCTCTTGGTATAGTTGGCAGCCAATTCTAAACTGACAAAGTAATTACGAAATCAGCCTTTGGATTAAAGCAAATGCGCAGGGCCTTTGTTCAACTCACGAAGTCTCTGAAATGGGCTTGAACAAAGTACAAGCGCGCGAGGCTTCTCCCTAAATCCCTCTATGCTGTTGTGAGACCTATCCCGTGCCCTCAATCGTTGACGCATATGATGGATTTCCCGATGGGTTAAAAGCTAACATATTCCCTTATCAATCTTGTAATCCAACCCTAGCGATGTCCTATTCAAAGCCGTATTTTAGAGTGTCGGTGCATTGTTTGGGTATACTTCGGGAACCTACCTCGATTTTCAGGAGCGCTTCTATGATATCCCTTTTTCTCATCCTGCTGTGCCCCGAAACCAATTTTAAAGGGACTTCTCCCAAAACCATTTTGTAAAGCCGTTGCCATTGTGCTATGACAGTTTCAACCCTCTTATCAACACCGCTCTTGACACCATTTCCTTTTGCTACTCTACCAAGTCTAAATTTAACGCGTTCAGTTGCTTTTGCGTCATTTTTTTTAGAGTCAACTTGTCGAATGCATGGGTAACTGAAATTCATTTTCGACGTCTGTCGATGCCAAGGCAGAGTTTGTTATAACGTCCCTGCTATGAATGAGAACCCAAACCCCAATGCTTCATGTATCGGAATTTCCGGAAGTCGGACGTTTTCGCTGAAGCAGCCCGATGCGGGCCTGTTACCGCAAACCTTCAATGGAAACCAACCCTCTGAAATGTCTCAACAAGTGGAGGCGGCACCAACGGTATCAGCCTCATATGACTGGCTTCCTTCTGGTCTTGTCACTTCCACCCAGAAGCCGCTGCCTAAGCGTGTGGGCGGCACCCTAGTTCAGGACCCGCGCCTGCTATGGGAAAACAGTTTCTCGTGTCTGACTTCGGACAATGGAAACACGAGCAACCTGTGGGAGCCTGTCAATAGCACCTCGACTGCGCAACCAATTGCGGTGAAAGATGTCCGTCGTGATACTCCTGTGAGTAGGAATTCTCAGGCTGCTCTAAACTGTTTCTCAAACTTTGGCTTTGGATACACGGATGGAGTTCTTATGTCGCCAAGCTCGAAAGATATGGCTGTGCTTGGTTTGCAAATGGCCGACCAAGTTCTCAGTAACTCACCAAACACCGGTAAGCAGATTGATGACTGAAACTGTTAATGTTGTAAAACCACATTTGTTTTTTCATGTTGCCAAGGCCGAAACCGTATGTATTGACTATGTATCGCTATGGATCTATCGTCCAGTTAAGGTTGTCATACTTATAAACAATGTATCCTGATCCGGCAGGCCTCAATAGTGTCTCGAGCGATACTTCTCTACGCACGATGGTCAATGACAGTGGGTCTGGAGAGCCCGACCAGGTCTTCCTCAGCGACGAAGACGCAATACCATAGCTTTAAGAACCACCTCAGTGTGTTGACGGACAGCGTCGAGCCAAGTCTTGAGCCGATCTCCTCGCCGTCTCCAGTTAGGCAACACGCCAGTTTTAGAACATCAGCGCTGAACTCATGGGTTGGACGACTTGAAATGTGTCAAATCCATTTTAGCCATCTTTTTGGATGTCCTTACGATGTTATCAAAGCTAGTTCAGACTGTCTCATACCCGATTAATTATTGCTCTCAGCATTAGAGTACAAAGCCACTTTCCGCTCTTCATTTGCACACAGCCCAGCACCCACAGCCGTGAAGATAAACCGAGCGGATGCTCGGTACATGCGGACCTCACCACTAGTTGAAATATCACGAGAGTCTTACGCACGTCCTTGAGACTTTGTAAATACCCTGCAAGCATCACCGTTTAGTAATAGATTGATTTCACGATATTTGAACTTGTCTATCTCCTTTGACTGTTAGTCCCGCAACTGGCGTGCCCCTGACCAGTAGCGTAGCTAGAGAAGGCGCCCCACCGAGGAATTTTGTTAGCCACCGTGTCTACTCGCTAGCAAAGCGATATCGTCAGTGTCACTGAGGTCCATCTGCATCTTCGGCCCAGTGGTTTTTGCGGTCTTGCCTAATCAACTGTCCTCATTTTTCCACGTTAACGGGAGAAGTCATGGGTACCGTCTGCGTCCGGGCAAGCGAAGATAGTGTTCTTGAGCCGATATAGCCCTTGCGGCGCGGCCAGATGGATTCGAAGCTTATTTCGTCTTCCTTCCGGGCTGAGGATTTCAACTATCAACCATATCTTCGATACTTTGCCTCCTCGAAGTTCAACTGCAAGAAAGTGGTGCCGAACGAGCCTGTCTAATGGCGACTTATAGTCGTCATAAAACCATGATCGGGATTTGTGGTATTGTGTAATGCAGTCCTGTGCCAGGCCTCAAACCCCAGCACCTTATAGGACTGACGTACCGCTCCATAACAAATTATGCGGCAACCTTCGCCGATATTCTTACTGTCCGTCATCCGTGGACGCGCTAGGTAGTCGACTTTTGGGCTAACAACCAAGCATGTCTTCTCCGCAGTGTCATTAAGCGGAGAAAGGAAAACTGGCAGTTGCTCGTTATTTGGCGAATTTTGCACTACGCGGAATCGAGTAGGCTAAATCGATAAATTTTTTAGCTAGGTTAAGGTCTGGAAAATTGTCACAGAGTTGTATGTTTGGAAAGAATTGGAATAGAATTTCCGACGCAAGTTTCTTACTTTTTCGGGATTTGTAATCAATATTGTGCTGTAAAATTATTATCTTTTTACTGACGGTAAGCCTGTTGGATTTCGAGGCGTCCCTTACCAACAGGCATGAGCACTTTTGTGTTGGGTGTGTCCGTGTCCATTGGTTACTCTCCACCATTAATGACCACCATATGACGTCTCGGGCCGCCTTTGTCACCCCAAAGAACCTTATCGCAAAATTCAATGGACTTTCAAGTCGAAGACATGCGATTAAAAGTAAATTATTGCTTAAGAAGACTGTATTGCTTTGGGGACGGCCGAATTTTCCCATCCTTCTGACCATTCAAAGAAGTCAATGTCGAATGCTTCCCGTGAATGAGTATCAGATATTAAGTGACTTTTGCGCGCAACGAACGAAGAAGACCGCTGTGTCATTTGCATGTGTGCTGCCTCTGTCCGTTACTAGTTCAAGACTCCT